TCGTCGGTCATGTCGGCGAACTGATTGATGCCCACCCGATAGGTGTGCAGCCCCTGGTCGGCCTCGGCGTTGTGGGCCACCACGTATCGGTAGGTGCTCTCGAAAATGTCCCTGCGCATTTCGTCGTTACCAAAAGCGCCACCGTTACGGAATTTTAGCTGCATTTAGGTAAAAATTGAATTGTTAATTTATTGTGCCTAACTGGCTTAAGTGAGAATGTTGTTAGTGGGTTAGCGCAGGTAACTTTTGCATACCTTGAATGCCATCCATTCGGTCTCGATCTCGGACTGTTGTACGGGCACAGCCGCCGCCGAGGCTACCAACAGGGTAATTGCTAGTAAGGCAATCATGATCAGTTTTGCTCAATTGAATAGTCAATACTGTTTGGTATTGATTGATTTATGGTGGTTAATTGGCATTGTTTATATACAATTTTTTTTGCACAGTGCAAGTGACATATCCCGATAATCTGGGCACGTATTTCAAGTGAATTTGCTGATCGTATAGTAAGATTAGCTTGGTCATATGCTTTGTTTTGCACTATTTATATTATTGTATTTGAGCTTGACGTTTTTTTATTTATCAATTTCACAGGTATTTCATGTTTTGATTGACTTTCATAAACCCTTTTCGCAGTATATTCTGTGCATTGTTTTATATATTTATATTTACCTAATTGTTGGGAAATTGTCAGTTTATTTTTAGTGTAACGTATGATATTTAAAACAAACAAGATCATATATCCTTTATTATATTTTTAATTCATAGTAAAATATATAAATGTAAAATTAACACTAAATTCTTTAAATAATTTTTACGTCACTTCAACCTCTATTAATTGTTTCCAGTGTCTTGTGCTCAATTAAGGGTGAAAAACTTATCAAGATCCAATTAACTATAAATATTATTATTATTATTATTATTATTATTATTAGAGAGAGAGAGAGAGAGTAAGGGTTTATGAAAGTCAATCAAAACATGAAATACCTGTGAAATTGATAAATAAAAAAACGTCAAGCTCAAATACAATAATATAAATAGTGCAAAACAAATTTATTTAAAACAATAGCACATTTTAAATTCCTATATAAAAAGAACTGTGACATTTTGAAACAATAAAATAAACTGGATCAAACTAAACTCGTTTATTTTACAATTTGCTAGTTATATAATGCAAATTTAGTATAATTTTATAAATCATATAATAGATAATGAATGAACATAATATTTTTTTGGTACAATTAAAAATAATAATGTACCCGGATAAATCACTGCAAATTTTTAAATCCCATTGAAATAAATAATATAGATATTATAGCAATGACTTTGAACCCAATACTATCTATGCCTCGTGTGGGGTAAATATAAACATGGTCATGTGAAAAACATTACAACCTTATACAGTGCATTATAAGAGCTTAATTGTGCATAAACTGGGAAAATATTTCCTAAATACGTGAAAAATTAATCCTGATTGTTTTATATCTGCTATTTATATAGTTGTTTTATATTTTCATGCTTGAAACAATTAAACATTGTAATCATTAAATAGTACTAATAATACAAATAAATATAGTTAATCTAATTAAAAATAATTATTATGTGACGTTTAATGAAAGAAGTGGGTTGTATAAATAATTTTAAAACGTGTTTAATTTTAAACGTATACTTTTTATTATTTTATTATAATTATAGTTTAAGAGACAAAAGTATTTTTTAAAACAAAAAATTAAAATTAAAAAATACAATAGTTATAAATTAATATTTTGATTCTAACAAATAACTTGTAATAATTAGTTCACTATTTTCACGGCATTAAAAACTGTTACTATATTTTAAAATTTGATTAACTATTTAAGCTTAAAATGTTTTTGGATTTAGAATTTTCTACTTGGAATTTTCTGGTTGCTATTATTACAAACAATTAATGTACATGTTCATTTGTTCGTAGCGTTACCATATGGCACTTATTTATTTAACACTATCAACTTTAAAAAGAACCATAAATTATTTTGCAATATTTTACCAGTTCAAATAGTCTATAACAAGTAACTTGTAAAGTTCTATTTAAATATAATAATTTAGTATAAAAAATAGTTGAGAAATACTGTTAAATTTTGTTTAATTTTAAAGTATTATCTTACATGTAGAAATAAAAAAATTTAGCTAAAGTATAAAATATGGGGTTATCCTATTCTAGCAGTACTTAACATTCTAAATGAGATACATATAAAAATGCTCTTAAATACGTTTTTATGTACTGATGCACTTCAAGTAACAAATGTACCATGAATAGATTATTACAAATTGTACAACCAATAAAACCAATAGGTTCTTTGTAAAACTTATTTATAATCATGGTGACTATCATAGATTATAATTAATTCTGACTATTGTATATAAGGGTATTTAAAAATTTGTTTTAACCAATACATATTAAATGTATAACTTTTATTTAATATTAGAAAGTTCTTTATACTAACAATAAAATTAAATTTTTAAAAGTTTATTAAACAAATTTTTAAAATGTCAATATTGAAAATAAAATCTTATCTATATAAATACGATTGTTTCCAACTAATAAAATAAATAATTTCAAAATTACAAACAATCAAAAATAATTCCAGGTATTAATCACACATAATAACTATTAAGCTAGAATAAAAACTTATCACAAAAAGTCATATCTCTATTAAGAAATCCTGTATTGTTATAATAGTTATCAAGTTGATTTAACTACTTAAATGTCCCATACTTGTGCAACCAATATACCTTATTATACGCAATTAGTGAAACATAAATGTGCAAACATACAAACACATAATTTACTACCACCATTTATAAATAATGTTTACCATAATTAAATTCGTGTTAATTACTACGTTAATTCAATTCATATCATGTGCAATAATAGAGAGTTTTTATCATTGCGGTCAACCGTATAAACAAGCTGTTTCACCAGATGGGACTGAATATGGTTGGTTGGCACAGGTATGGCGTCTTAAGCCCGATGCGGACAAACTGCCTGAAAAAGATAAATATATGGACAACCAGTGTATGGCCAGCATTATATCAGACAATTGGCTGTTGGGTGCGGCCAGTTGTCTACCCCTAAAGGATAGTCAATATGCTATTAAAGTGGTAAACTTACCTGATAAAATCTATAAAGTGGATAAGGTAAATATATTATTATTATAGTTGTGAACATAAATTTATTTAATTAGGATATCCGCTTGTATAGTTCAACGCAACTACTTTAGATTTAACTAAAGTAACCTTTCATGGTTATCTAAATAAATCATAATCAGTCATTATTATATACACTAAATAAATAAAATAGTTAATTATTTGTACTAGCAATGAACTTATAAATTAGCAACATTTGCACTAACTAAAATATTAAAATAAGCTATAATAATAAACAAAAACTAATCGTATGTTTATGCAAACCTATTTAGATAGTGAAATCGCCTGAATACAACCCGACCCTGGGCGCCGGGTACGACCTAGCTCTAATCAAGCTGAAAAACGGTCTACAGCTGCATTATAATGATGATAAAGTACGGGCCATATGTTTATCCGACTACGGTAATAAGGCCGATGATCGGTCACAGTTCAAAACGACTACTGATTGCCTGTTACATAACTACGGGCCGGTAGATGAACAAGATCATAGTAAACCCAGGCCCTTGGTAAAGCCTGCCGAACCAATTAACATGGCCGAAGCCACGGATTGCGAGAAAATTTACCATAAGCTTTTCAAAGAGCCGGTTATGTTTTGCGCTAATAAAGCGATACACGATTACAATAATGGGGCTCCCATAACATGCCCTGATGATAATTATGATACTACAACTCATTTTTTGACAGCCATTGCCTCCTGGGGTAGGAATAAGGATACCTATCCTAATGTGAAGCGTGAAGTGTACACCAAGTTGTTTGATGGATATTATATTACCTGGATTAATAATACTATTCATGCCAAGAATTAAATGCGCTCTCGATGTTGGTCAGATTTGTTTATTGCATTTAATTATTATTATCATGTTTTAAATGTTAACTTTAATTTAATTTTTTATGCTTATTTGTTAGATCAATTAAAATACCAGTACTTATTTTGAATAAATTGTTAATTTATTTTTATCATATTTATATATTTATAATTAGAATTTATGAAATTATAATTAAAATTGAACATAAATTAATTTTAAAACTACTAACTACAATACAAACAACAAACATTAATTAATTATTTAACATATTTAAAGCATAGTACTGTCGGGCATAGGCTTCAAACTAACCAAACTACTAGACAGGGAATACTCCCGGAATTCCCGGACAAATGTTAAAAAATACGGACACAACAAGAATATCAGTAACCACTCCAGCGCTGTAGATATCACGTGCGGCACAAACCCAGGCCTACGGGTGTCCCACAACAGTCTACTCTCGGTATGCGCTGCGGCGGGGTATAGGGCGCCCGACCACAGGGCACAGCCCACACACGACACCAGTACTATCACAGACAATATGGTCAACCATTTCCTAACCCCAGCGGCCCTCCCGTTGCCCATCTCCAGGGCTGCCGTGCGTTGATAACACATATCGCACACTAGGCTTATGAACGCAAAGCTCGCCCCGAGTGAGTGCACGGCCAACACTAGCGTAGTCTCGGCGGCCCTAAAGTTGCCAACCATAACGAATCCTCCGGCAATACACAGGCCTGACCTCAGCGACCGTTTGTTGACTATTTTTAGCTCGTTTTCATAATCATTGTTGTTGTTGTTGTCACTAATATTGTCATCGAGAGTGGGGTGATGTAAATGAATGTAGG